GAGATACAAGACAAGAGGAGGGTTCCGAATTGGACGCGGAACCAATGGCGAGAGCATAGCGTGCCCTCTGGTCCCTGGTACGCATACCCTTATTTTCTTTGATCGATAAGACCAGGCGGATGAGGACACCTTTGACCGGGGACAGTCACACGTACGTGCAAGCGACCTCGATTACTAGTCATAATCTCTCATCTCACTTTCACCAGACGTCCCTATACCGCGGATCGATTTGTCAAAGAAATCAGAGGTGAATAGTCGCAAGGATAGTAGTAGGAAATAGACATCACTGCAAGGGAGGTCAATATCTAGTTACCAGCTCATTCTCGCAGGCAGGAAATGGGGCATTCGACGACAGCTTAAGCGAAGCAGCAGCTTCAAGGATAGAAGTGGATTCATCCAGGGGAAGGGCTGGCAAATAGCAATGGGCAGCTCATCTTTTGGCCTGTCTCCCCTGGTCCAGCTCCCAACTCGATATCTGCCGTGGGGCAAACGGTCAGCGAAATGCGTAACCCCCCCCAATCTTTTATCATCCCCGCACCTTCATTTCCTGATAACCCACATTGACTACATGTAAATGTTACTCAACGGAGAGTCCTCTACGAGAGTCGTTCGAGACTTAAGTACGATGATCACACGAGGCAATACACCAGACTTGGGGGGAGTGGGCCAATGCTGTGCATGGCTGGTTACGAGTCCTGAGATAAGATACTCCCTATTTTACACTGTATATCATAGAGCTGACACAAATATTCCTATCTTTATTGAAGTATTATTTGAATTTCACTAGACCTCTCAGGATCATCTTGTATATTCCCTGATTTGCTATAGAGCTCTGAATATATTATGGATTTCCAGCATTTTTCACAATGTTTTTGGCCCTTCTACAGCCTGCAATCAATTCCAGATCGGGTGAACCTGCAGAGCGCTTTTGTTACTTCGCCTCCCGATCGACATCGCCACAACCTTCCATATGTGGAAGGCTGCCTTATTTGGACTCCGACGCTCCGGACCGCCGGCCATGGCCGCCGTATCCATTGCTTGATTGGTATCATCCATCGCTTTACAACAGGGGGAGCCGTTAAAAGAACATGAAATACATGCAATGTAATTAATGAGTCCCATATGGACCTTAGTATTCTCTGAATAAATTATATTATACCAGATAAGTTAAGGATAGTGAGGCTAGAAGGGTATATATCTTATTCGCGCCTAGTAATTCTTACTGCAATGTAGTCTGACTGTTGTGGCGTCGGTGCTGCATGGTTTTCACTTCGGGTGGCTTGGGTTCGAGCCTGAGGTTGTGTAATTTTTGACAAACAAAATAATTTTTTGGACTCCTCCTGTGGTACTTTTATAACATCCCCAGCCTATCTACTGACTCTAGTTATCCTGAAGCTACAAAAATTTATCTTTTATGATATAGTCGTCAGCGAGACAGCGCGACATTCCGTCTGCGGCGCTGTCGCGGCGACTCCGGGGTCACATGACGCCATTTCCCGTTATGGCAGGTCGTGGCTATGTCGATCGGGAGGCGAAGTAAGACCAACTCCTGCAGAGAGCCTATGTCATAGAAGGCAGGAGCCAATCAGAGCCCAAACCGACGCGGCCCGCACCTCAGCCACTGACTACAAGCCACTACAATAGTCAATTCCCACGATAAGCAATAAAAGTAAAACCGCCATGCAGACTAGAACAAGACACGCAATCGATAAATTCACGAAAATATTGTTGTAGACCCGTATAGCATACGCCCCAGACTAGAGAAAATAAAAGAGAGATAAGAAGAGGGGTTGAGCCCGCAAATGAGCAAACAATGGTCCCAAGACTACAAAAATGCGCCAAAAGTGGTTTTGTAGTCTCACATACAACCAGACTTCCAATCGGAGTTTCAACAATGTAGTCTGCAATACAAAACATAACTCCCACAACTTCTCGGCACAAACGGTTCTCACAGGGTACAACATTCGGCACGCAGGCATATTTTGCACATAAGGACTCGACCTTCATACCTCAGGACTCGTAACCAAGTCTATTGCAAAGAGCAAAAGAGAACAACTGAGGGTACATGCGAGATGTAGTCCTACTTATATACCCTACTGCTTGAGGATCTTAAGTAAGCGGCCAATGGCCGGAAAACCTGCAAGAAGGCAAAAGGTTAGTCCGTCTACGGATCCCTACACTACACTCCTCTCACTGAGAGTTCTCAGCAAGTGTGGGGTACAGCCCTGTTGAAGGAGTACCATCAGGAGCACCTCCTTTCAGCTTTCCTGCATGCTCCAGAGGTGGCTTTGGCTATCGGATCGTAATATGCTTGCCAACACCAGTGCAGTCTCATTTGTCTCAAGCATGCTGGCCGTGACGTGTGTCATCTAGCTATAGGAGGTTTCCACAAATACCAGACAAACACTGCTGCCGCTGTACACATCCGAAGGTTAACGACAGCGGAGAATCCCGGCACGGGCACTCCTAACCTCACATCATCCAAGTCTTATTCACCACACACCTCGAGGATGCTCATTCCTTTGCATGCATTCCTTTGCTGTCGCTGCTGGAGCTGGTCTTGTAGAAGGTGCCAACATCAATGACTGGACTGTGACAGGGACTTTCTTGATTCCAATCACAATGCTTCGTCAAGTCAGCGAGCTGCCTTTCCCTAGCTGTAGAATCTCCGTAGTCAGTACAGTTAGCTTGTATCACACACACACCAATAAACGGAACCTTGTCTTATTGCGAGAGATACAAGATAGGTAATTGAGTTAAGCAGATTCAGAGATAGTTGTTGTCTCACGATCCGCCTGCCCAATCTGTCCATCTATCACTCAGTAACCAAACACGTCCAAACTCGGTGCCACTCGGTGGCGCCCACCTTACACCCTCCCCACTTAGAGCGAGACATTGTCTTCGATGACAATGGGGAGCGATATAATGGTATTATTTTTGTATGGAAATAGATTATAATATGGTCCGAGACTCAATGGTCATTTACATCGCGATTCGGGGTAGCGTCCATAGCAATGATCATCATACAATGCGATTTGGATATGCGGCGGGAGGAGTGGTCATATTACATAGTGATGCCGCGGAGTCATAACGACTCGATAGTGCGATATAAAAATTGTCAAAGTCCAAATAATAGCACGGACGCAAGACGGCGGCGACGACAGCGACGGCGACGAGGGGGGGGCACGCAGCGTCCGTACTCCCCACTTAGTCGGCAAAAGGGTCCGGTGTCGGTGCACCCTTGACTCCACGCAACTCCGCGAGCTCAATGGCAGCCTCATAGTGTCGCCCTTGGGTCCATATGACACAGCCGGCGAGGTACTTGATGATTTGCTCCTCGTCGGTGGGGTTGCCCTCGAAGTCGGGCGATGATCTAGTGGGGGCCTTCTTGACCTTGCCCTCATCGATGGTGGCCTTGTACCGTCCCGACGCAATGACGTGCAAGGTCGCATTAATGAACGTGTCCGTGTTCTCGAGCTTCCCTCCGGCGCGCTGTAAATAACGCCACCAGCGTGCGTGCGATGCGATGGTGTCGGTCTGACCCTTCTGGAACCCTTGGGGCGCCATCTCCGGCCGTTTTTTGACGAGCTCGACGAAGGCAGCAGTGGTAGGGGCCTCGTAGAATGAGGTCAGCGTGATCGCGACGGCCTGGTCACTTGCCACCGCCGCTATAGCTGGCTGGTCAGCGGTCGAGGCCGGCGGCGCAGTGGGCATAGTCTTCGCGCCCTCGGTGGTCGCGGTGCTCAGAGTAGGCGGGGCTACATGCTCGCCGCTCGATCCCCAGGTAACCCTCGTCTCATTCGTCCCTGTCCCTCCCCCTTTGGACTGCTCAGGCCAGTCTCGGCCTGCAGACCATGCCATAAGCACCGCAGCTCGACCCCAGCCTGCGTCAGACAACGATGCGGCTGTCGCGGCGCGTTGCTCAGGCGCAGGAGACTCCTGTCGTCCCGGCGTCCATAGTCGTCGATCCTCCGGCAGGTTGGAGACTGGCCGCCTGTCACGGTTGTCCCTTGCGTCCGAAGGTCGAAGAGATGAGGATGTACGTTTGGGCGGATGCTCGGGCTCGTTGAATCCCCCGTTGGGCTCACAAAACCTCTTCCCTCCTGAGTTCCTGCGGGGGCCGCTATTCGAGTCGTGTCCCTCCTCGCAGCACTGAATATCTTGGTGCTGTGTATTGTACTGATAGCGGTGCCGGCATAGGTGGATCGAGTGACGAGCCTCTTCGAGGTCACCGCGCGTGTGTTCAAGCGTGACAAACTGAATATAATTGGTCTCCTCGAGCTGAGCTATGCGCTGATGGCAAGCCTCCAAAGTAGTCGGGAGGTTGGCACCTCGGTTGACAATAGCGGCGGGCATAGGGTTACGGCAATACATGATAGCAAGGTGTTGAGCAGGAAGCAAAAGGTCGGTGTTCGAGTTCAAGTGACTTTGAACTCCGCTTCGTATCCCGCCACACTATTGTTTGTGCGCCGGCGGGAGTTGCCGAGTAGTGCTGACAAGTAGGCGCTCATTAGTCAGCAACATGAGCACCTTTCGCCGGTGCCTTTCCGGGGTAACTCCTTGGGCCGTTTTGTTGATAATAGCGCGAAGGTCTTTGTAGTAGTTGACTAGACTAGAGATTCGGATGTACGGTCGAATAGGATGAATTGATGATTCTACAGTGAAGCTACAGCGCGTATATATACATTCTCTTCTAAGTCAAAGCGTCTCCTCTATGCCGCTTTGCCCTCTGCGCTTTTCAAGCGTGTTGTCGTACTTGTGGCACTGCCGGCGCTTTGTCCGTCCAAGCACTCCAAGCGCCTTAAGCGCCTCAAGCGCCAATACGTTTGACGCCTTGTAGCTCCAAATAATGATCTAGTGCCTCGAGCTCATTGCAAGAGGATAATGGCTCCCATGTAGCCTCTCCTATTTGCCATCGTACAAGTAGCTGTAGCGCATTTTTATTCCATCGATGAGCCATAATTTCCTCGACGAGCCATTCAACGTCTTTCGGCTCTCCGAAGTCATATGCAGTGTAGGATTCACGATGAGGGAATAGATTATCGTCGTTCCCTTCATGTCGTCTAAGCCTGCTCACATGAAACGTAGGGTGAATACGTCCCTTCGCCAGTTCGGGCGGTAATTTAAGTTTGTAGGTAGACTTAGCGGGGTCGCTCTCCTCAACTTCATAAGGACCAATGAATCGGGGCATCAACTTCCGAGCCTGACCCTTAGGTAAATTAAGATTCTCCGTGGACAAATACACTAGATCGCGCGGGGTAATTGCCTCGTCAGGTCGACGTCGTTGATTGGCGTAATGAGATTGAATAACACGACTCTCAATGATCGCATCGTGCGCGTGCGCTAAGTTCAACAGTGCGCGTTCGGCGAATTGTCGAACGCCTGGCATGACTGGCTCAGGGTCCAATGTAGTGGCAATACGCGGCATAGTTCCATAGTTCAATTCAAATGGGGCGTATCCCGTGCTCTTGCTGATACTAGAATTGATTGCGAATTCAACCATGGGGATTTTCTCAACCCAGTCGGTTTGGCTCGCATTCACTAACGCGCGTAAGATCTGGGACACCGTTCGTATAGATCGTTCGGAAGCTCCGTCGGTTTGAGGGTGGAATGCCGTAGACATTAATAACCCAGTGCCTAGGAGCTTATGCAATTCGCGCCAGAACTTCGCCGTGAATTTAGAGTCGCGATCTGATACGATAGTATCAGGCATCCCGTGAAGCCGAACTATACGGTCATAATATAGCCAAGCTACATCCGATGCTTTGGCAGTGGTCCTCGTAGGAATCAGATGTATCATGGAAGTTAGTCGGCATATCACGACCCATAGGTAATCATATCCTTCGACCGGCGGGAAAGGTCCAACGAAGTCCATACCGATTGATCCCCATGGGCGAGTAGGTATCAGCATAGAATGTAGTAGTCCCATGGGTCACTTAGGTGAGTCCTTCGTGGTCTGACAAGTACCACACGATGCACAGTATCGTTCCACTTGGTCTCCCATCTTGGGCCACCAGTACCAACGACGTACGTATGCGAATGTTCGAGCAGCGCCTAAGTGTCCGATTGTCTTATGACATTGGTCTAGCACGATTTCATTGATACGACGCTTCTCAAATTTGACGCGAGGGATACATAGCGAGAACGTAGAGTCGGGCAGTTTGCGCCATATGTACCCGTTCTTGAATATGAATGCCTTTTGGGCAGTATCCTTATTCAATTTCGAGAAAATTTCATCCTCGGCGTATCCTTGTGAAATAGCTGTCATTATGCGACGATCACCTTTGATCACCTCGTGAGGTGATTTACGACTCGCTATTGAGTTGGCGATAGTAGGGTCGTTATCGTCGTCATCGGCGCGTGCATCATCAGAAGGTACCTTAGATTCCTTAGGCGGCTTGACCTTAGTGA